AGGCTGGAGCGCAATGGCGGTCTCGGCTCACTGCAACCTCCGCCTCCTGGGTTCGAGCGATTCTTCTGCCTCAGCCTCCCAAGTAGCTGGGACTAAACCAGGCTAATTTTTGCATTTTTAGTAGAGATGGGGTTTCACTATGTTGGCCAGGCTGATCTCAAATTCCTGACCTCATGATCCACCCGCCTCGGCCTCCCGAAGTGCTGGGATTACCACACCTGGCCTCTCTTCTGAATTTTTTTAGATCATTGTGTAAAATCTCTTCTTCCTCGGGGGTCAGCTTGGCTCCCTTCTTGAGGCCCAGGAGCAGCACATAGTGGGGCTGGTACCACCGCCGGTACGGTGTGCTGTCAATGAGCACCATGCAATTCTCCACCAGGGTCTGGGTACGGACCAGCTCATTATTAGACGCACTGTAGACCACATTGATGACCCTTCTTTTTCGAGTACAACACTCTGAGCCCCAGGAGAAATTCCCCACGTCCAGCCTCAGGGCACAGTATTTCTTGTTACCACCCCGCATGTGGACTGTGTGGATGCAGTGGGGCCCATCTTGGTGTTCGCAGCTGGGCGCCCCAACTCATACTTCCACTTCTTTTGGCAGGGATTTCTCTTGCCCCCGGTCTTGCAGCACTTGTGCCAGTTGTCCCAAGAGATGCCCATCACTTGGTACTCAAAGTTCATTTCTATTACTGGCAGAATTCAGTGTGAAGTTCCCATTTCCTTGCAGGCTGCCAGCCAGGGACTGCTGTTAGCTTCTAGAGGCTGCTGTCATTCCTTGTCACCTTGTCCCTCCATCTTCAGGTCACTTCAATGGCATGTGAATTCTGCTTCTAGACTCTCTGACTTCTCCTTCTGCCGCCAGTGGGAGAAAGCTCTCTGCTTTTAACATCTCGTGGGGTTAGATCAGGCCCAACCAGATTATCTCCCTATTTTAAGGCCAATTGTGCCTGTAAGTAACCTAAGCTAATTATGGGAGTGACATCTCATCATGTGTACAGATAGGTTCCAGGGCACAGGGCAGGACATCTCTGGGGGTGCTGGGTTTCCTGTGCCTTACAGTGGCTCATACGTCCTCACTGGAGAAGGCACATTTTGTCAGCCACCCTCTATTTTCTTTTCTTAGAGTCTTCCTCTCTTGTGCAGGCTGGAGTGCAGTGGCATGATCTCAGCTCACCGCAACCTCTGCCTCTCGGGTTCAAGTAACTCTCCTGCCTCAGCCTCCCAAGAAACTGGGTTTACAGGCATGCACCACCACCACCAGGCTGGACTAATTTCTTCTATTTTTAGCAGTGATGGGGTTTCACCAAGTTGGCCAGTCTGGTCTTGAACTCCTGACCTCAAGTGGTCCACCCTCCTGGGTCTCCCAAAATGCTGGGATTACAGGCATGAGTCACTGTGCCTGGACCCACCCTCTATTTTCTTTTCTTTTCCTTTTTTTTAACTTGAGACAGAGTCTGGCTCTGTCACTGGGCTGGAGTGCAGTGGTGTGATCTCAGCTCACTGCAACCTCTAACTCCCGGGTTCAAGCGATTCTCCTGCGTCAGCCTCCTGAGTAGCTGGGATTGCAGGCATGCATCACAACGCCCAGCTTATTTTTGTATTTTTAGAAGAGACGGCGTTTTACCATGTTGGCCAGGATGGTCTCGATCTCCTGACCTTGTGATCCCCCCACCTCAGGCTCCCAAAGTGCTGGATTACAGGCGTGAGTTACGGCCCCCAGCCTATTTTCTAGGTGCTAAACAACATGACTCCAAAGCATAACTGAAGAGCAGGTGAGTTGCTCACCGCATGTAGAGTCCAATAAACAAGAGCGAGGTCGGGTACAAATGAGTGAATGTATTCCAAAGGCAGCTTTGGGAAGAGACACAACGTGTCCTGCCTTTAAATGTGCTGCCTCACCTTTGGAGCAGCACCGGGACTCTTTTATAAGTTGGGGGATAGGGAAGTGTGCAAGGCAGGGGTTCCCCTGTGCCTGGTGCCTTATCTACCAGATAGTGGAGCTGGTGCCTTCCTGGGCGGAAATAAGTTGTAAAAGTGGCCAAGTGGGCATGCTTTTGACGTGCCCTCCTGGAGGACACAAGTCACTTCCAGCTTGCAGAGTGGAAGTTCCAAGGCCACCGCATGGAGGTGAAAGTTCCGTGGCGGGTATGCTTTGGTCGGCAAAACCACTGTCAGCAGATCCACCGCCAGCTCTCAAGGAAAGATCTGTCTTGGAGCACATAGAATTTGCCCTGAGCTGGGCGATGGTGGCTCACACCAGTAATCCCAGCACTTTGGGAGGCCAAGGCGGGCGGATCACCTGAGCTCTGGAGTTGAAGACCAGCCTGACTAACATGGAGAAATCCTTTCTCTACTAAAAATACAAAATTAGCCAGGCATGGTAGTGCATGCCTCTAATCCCAGCTACTTGGGAGGCTGAGGCAGGGAATTGCTTGAACCCGGGAAGTGGAGGTTGCGGTGAGTTGAGATCATGCCATTGCACTCCAGCCTGGGCAACAAGAGTGAAACTCCATCTCAAAGAAAAAAAAAAGAACAGAACAGAACTTGTCCTGAAGGGGAATGTCTAGTTAGGGGGTAGTGAGTGGTTATATTTGCATTTCTGAAGGGCTGAGTAGGAAACAGGAAGGAAGGAAAGGGGAGAGAATATAAAATAATTGAAAAAACAAAACTAATTCATTCTGTTGTTCAGAAAAAATGGGGGCACTTGGTTACAAAAGTACTTAAAACAAAATCTAGCAAGAAACATTTGACCAGGTCTGCGGGAGCTATCTGAGCTGAACCTGGCCTTCCTACCAGTGCTTAGCAAATTGCAGGTGGTTTTAGCAAATTGCAGGCAGCCTTGGTGGACGGGCAGCTGCTTCCAGAGTTGCCTCCGTCCTCCAGACCCTACCTAGCACGTGCTCTGGGTGGTGGCTAACATGCAGCTTTCGCAGTCAGGCCACCCTGGAGCAATGTCAACCTGTCCCTTGCCAGCTAGGCAGCTCCAGTGTGGGGAGCGGTGGTTTTAAGTTTCTGTCTGGACCAGGCCCTGAGGCAGACATCCCTGGACTTCCACTTCTGTGAGCCCACAAATCAGCTTGCTGGTTGCAACCAATTGGAGCAGAATTTCTTTTTTCTTTTTCTTTTTTTGAGACAAGGTCTCATTCTGTCACCACAGGCTGGAGTGCATGGGCACTGCAACCTCAGCCTCCCAGATCAAGCAATCCTCCCATCACAACTCCCTGAGCCCCAACCCTCAGTGGCTGGAACTGCTGGTGCTCATGTCACCATGCCTGGCTAATTTTTGTACATTTTTGTAGAGATAATGTTTCACCATGTTGCCCAGGCTGGTCTCAAACTCCTGAGCTCAAGCGATCATCCACCTAGGGCTCTCAAAGTGCTGGGGTTACAGGTGTGAGCCACTGTGTCCACCTGAGCTGAATCTCACATCACTCGAAACCAAATATACCCTTACCAACGTTAACTTTTATATTAAGATTTTATGAAAAATTGATTATTGTTATCATTTGTCTAGGGGATTAGATACTAAACAATTAGAACAGCAAACTCTTATCCTGCTCTCCAAGGCCTCAGTTGTGACCTCACAGGAGTATGGGCTGGGCCCACAGCAGTGATTTCTGACGACCTGCAGGGCTGCACTCACCTCCCTGGCCGGTAAAACATGACCATTTCTCCTTCCCTGGTAGGGGCCCCCAAAGTGGCCCTGAGGGGTCTGGAAGCCACCTTATTCCTCCGAGGCTGCCGAGGCTGTCTGGATCTCGCACCTTCGGGTCTCCTAAGCCTCAGGCCTGAGCTCGGTGAAAGGCTCCTAGAGGAACGTCTTCCTTACACAGATGAGTCAGAGAAGGGAACGAGCAGCCCCTGGAACCTCAGGGCCAGAACAGCGTGTAGGGCGCTTTCCAGCATAAATCCGCATAACACAGATGCCTTGGGGTACAAGCAATGGAGGTCCAGATTTCACACAACCTGCTCAAATCTTGCGGCCCCATCCACCTCAGCGTCACGATGCCCCCGGCGGGCAGTTGGGGGCGCTCCCTGCCCTCCCTGGGATCGCCCGGGCGGGGACTCACCCAGCCCTCCCGCCCGGTCCGCCCCTTGCTCCTCGTGGGGCCCCGCCCCGCCCCGCCCCGGGCCCAGCAGCGGGCAAGGGGGGCTGCGCCGCCTCGTACCCTAAGCCTCGCCCGGCCCCGCGGCCGGTCCTGAGGGGAGATGCTGCCGCTTGAGGCGCGCACCCCTTGGCGCCGAGATCCCCACTTCCTCCGCAGGCCCCGAAATACAGCGGATGCTACCCCCACCACACACACCAGGCTCGCTCCACCCTCGACGGCCGAGCGCGGTTGTCCCCTGTTCAGCACAGGCGGGTTTTGCGAGGGGCTCTGGGTCTCATCGCGCCCCGGAACGCCCGCGCCCACCTGGCTGCCCAGTGACGAGGAGCGGTGGGGTGCGGTGGGGTGTGGAGTGGGGGCAGGTGGAGCCCGACGGGGACAGCTTCGCCGGGGATGAGGACGGGGATTCCGCGCATTCCTGTGGGATTCGGCCTGAGCTCGGAAAACAAAGCCAAGGTGATTTGTGATAGGTCACCGGCTGCGCGGCACGGTCCGTCAATCCCTGCCCGGGCCGGTAGTTCCCAGCTTCGGTGCTCGGCCGAGTCACCTGGGAGCTATAAAAAGTGTCTGGGCTCATGCCCCACCCACTCACTCGTTCGGATTCATTCTGCCTGGTTGCGATCTGGACTAGCTATTTTCTCGAATGCCCGGGGGGCGGGGGGCAAAAGGCTCTATAAGGATTGAGCTCTAAGCTTTGGTTCACTTAGGAAGAACTACTACAGTGAGTACACAATTTATTCCAAGATTCAAGTTTTGTTTAGAAATGTAAGCAAAAATTGCATTCTGTTTGATAATGTATCTGTGTTCATTTTCAGTTACATAAAGGCAATTAGTAAGACAATTTTCAGAAAAAGGTAAATTTGTGACCCTTGTTCAGAAATAAAAACCAAGCATGTGTTAAAGATTTATTTTACTCATAAGAAGGACAAGGCAGATGCTATGACTGGTTCAAAGGAGACATCCAAAAGCACAAATGTATATGGAGTGAAGGAATTGAGTTGCAAACGGAGGCAAACTGGTTTTTCCACCGTGGGGGTGCGTCGGGGTGGGGGGAGAGAAGGCAATGGAAGCTTCACCTGACAAGACAGTCTGCAAAGCCCTCAGTACCTGCAACTTAAAAAGAGGTGCAAAATAGCTCAAAGACCATGAATGGGGCTGGAAGCAGACAGGTCTGGCTGTGCCTTAGATGATGTATAGTGTTTCATTGGAACAGAAAAGTTTTTCTTCACAATAGCTTCAATAACTATCTGGAAAAATTTATTTCTTACAGCCCTAATAACACTGGGCTTCCCCAAACACCACAATTTCAATCACTCACTGGACATAACATTTTCCTCCTTAGAAACAACAAACACAGATTTATGACTAAGTTACTGCTAAGGAGAAAAGAGGGGAGGCTGGAGGCTCTTGGGAGACAGTAGGGTATGGGGGTTAGGCGTGCAGGGCACAGAGTTCAAATCATGCCTGTCACCCTGTAGCCGTGGGATCTCTCTCTTAGGGCCCTCCATTTCTTACTTTGAACATGGCATATAACAGGATTCCAGAAGCTTTCCCTGTTCCTTCTCAGTTTAGGTGCACAGAATAAGTCACCTAGGAACAGGCTTTCTTTGTTAAGGGTAGGATTCTTTGAGTGGTCTCCTTTAGTTATGCAAATGTGGCTGAGTAGGCACCCATTGCCCTGGGGGAAGAGTAGAATTGGACTTTTTGAGGCCTGACAAAGGCTGCCCCTTTTCAAGGCCCCTTGGAATGCAGAGCCAGTTGCTGGGGAGGAGGGAACAGGAACCATTTTGCAAAGCCAGGGCCTTTGAGGAGGAAAGAGTTAAGACCCCGGGACTAACTAAAATTCACTGTCTTAAAAAGTTGCTTCACTAGGCCAGAGAGAACCTGAGTGAGTCTCTGGGGTTCCCCCAGCAGACTGTGTAGCTGACTGAGAGTCACAGAACCCAGCACCCCTGGCATGCTGCTACTCTTTGGGGAAAGATCGTTGAACTTGTAAAGATGACTGAGAGAAGGGTAACTTTGTTTTGGAAGGATGGGTTCCACATGCCCCCTGTGCAGTGAAGGTAGCCAAGCCTCAGAGGCCACAGGACTGTGCAGGCCCAGTGTTCCACAGCGCCACTGTGTGGAGGGAGTGGGAACAACTGCAGACGACTGCTCAGACTTTCCAGAGAATCCTCTCTTTGGAGGGAAATCCCTGAGGTTCTTGGACAATTTGAGAGTGGGTTCCAAGAGTGTGGTATTGATTTTTTTTCTGCCAATAATGGTACACGAGGTATTTGAGCAATCAATGAGAAAAAATTTTAAAGTAACCATATTTGTACCCTGAGTTAAAGTCATTGACTACACACTATTTACCAGGGTGCCAGGAATGTGAAATGTGCTCCATAAAATGCTCCATAAAAATGTCAGTTGTTATCATTACCAAGAAGCAAGACTAAATGCCTGATTTTCCAGAGTGACCTTTGTGTCCAAGGGTTTCTGGAGGAGTTGGCCAGAATGAGCTGGCCATTTTTTTTTTTTGAGCCAGAGTGAGCAGCAGGTGCACCTCAAAACTGCCCTTTGATCCCTCAGGTTGCTGTGAACCATTCCTGAACCTAGAAGACCTAAGAACATACCCTGCCTGCCTCCCAGCCTCCTCCCTTTCTTTCACCCCCAGGTCCAGCCCCAAGAGGAGCTCCTTTCTGCTTCAGAATGCACCCATCCTGCTCCCGGCAGCCCTCAGTATACATGGTGTGCTCTGCCTGATCCTCAGCTGAACCCATAGCAGCCTCTGGGCCTCTGCCCTGTACGCCTGTTTTCTCTCTGTTTTCTGGGTGTCCCTGGGCTGCCCTCTCCCAGGCTGAACTGTAGCCCCAATCTCCTCTCTGCAGTCCAGAGCAGGACCTGGTTTCTGAGGGTGAGGAGGGACACACAGGGCTGGCATCACAGTGGTAGGCCTTGCTCAGAAGCTCTGGGCACTTGGTTTAATGCTCAATGCTCTGCTATGGCAATCTTAAATTTTTATTTTTATTTTTTTTGAGATAGTGTCTAGCTCTGTCACCAAGGCTGGAGTGCAGTGAGGGGATCATGGCTCACTGTAGTCTTGACCTCCCGGGTTCAAGGCCTGGCCTTAAAATTCTTTTTTTTTTTTTTTTGAGACAGAGTTTCACTGTTGTTGCCCAGGCTGGAGTGCAATGCCACGATTTCAGTTCACTGAAACCTCCACCTCTCGGGTTCAAGTGATCCTCCCACCTCAGGCCCCCCAAGGCAATCTCTGGCAACCTTGGCCCCAGACAGGTGTGTGCCACCACTCTGAGGTAATTTTTAAATTTTTTGTAGAGACAGTGTCTCACTATGTTGCCCAGGCTGGCCCCAAATTCCTGGGCTCAAGCCATCCTCCAACCTCAGCCTCCCAAAGTGTTGGGATTATAGGCATGAGCCCAGCCTTTAAAATTCCTTTTTTTTTTTTTTGAGACGGAGTTTCACTCTGTCGTCCAGGCTGGAGTACAATGATGCAATCTCAGCTCACTGCAATCTCCGCCTCCTGGGCTCAAGTGATTCTCCTGCCTCAGCTTCCTGAGTACCTGGAACTACAGGCACACACCACCATGTCCAGCTAATTATTATATTTTTAGTAGAGATGGGGTTTCACCATGTTGGCCAGGCTGGTCTCAAACTCCTGACCTTGTGATCCACCCACCTGGACCTTCCAAAGTGCTGGGATTATAGATGTAAACCATCGCGCCTAGCCTTAAAATTGTTTTTTTTTTTTTTTGAGACAGAGTTTCACTCTTGTTGCCCAGGCTGAAGTGCAATGCCACGATTTCAGTTCACTGAAACCTCCACCTCTCGGGTTCAAGTGATTCTCCTGCCTCAGCCTCTGAGTAGCTGGGATTATTAGGTACATGCCAACACGCCCAGCTAATTTTTGTAGTTTTAGTAGAGATGGGGTTTCACTGTGTTAGTCAGGCTGGTCTCAAACTCCTGACCTCAGGTGATCCACCTGCCTTGGCCTCCCAAAGTGCTGGGATTACAGGTGTGAGCCACCGCGCCCGGCCACTTTTTTTTTTTTAAATTCTTAATACTGTTTTAGAGCCAGGGTCCTGTGACTTCATTTTGCACTGGGCTCTGCAAATTATGCAGCCAGCTGGCTGAGAGGGAACTGTGGGAAGACCCGTGCTGGGGAGGGAGAAAGAGCAGTGCTGTCCCCTTTCCCTCCAGGGGCATCTGACCCCTCTGGGATTCCCCTGCGCTGGGTGCAGGCAGGGAGCCGCTGGCTTGCTCTACTGCTGCCTGAATGACTCTTCTGGGGCAGGTAGCTCCCTCCCCATCCTGGAGGTCAGCAGCTGGGGCCAAGGTCCCCGGCATAGGGCCATAAGCCACTTCAGTGCTTTCACTGGAAGGGACCTCAGGGAACCCACTGGCCTCAGCACCCTGATCTAATCCCACCCACCAAAACATTAGCCTCAGGCCAACTCTGGCCTCACCCTTGGCAGGGACAGGAAGATACTGGCCCACGCCTGAGCCACAGCTCAGCTGTCCACCAGGGCACAGGCAAGGGCGGGGTGCACTGCTAGCTCCCACGTCTTTCTGTTGCCATACCCCCATCCCCATTGTAATCCTAGCACTCAGCACCCTCTACATCCTTTCAAGTCCTTGTGTACCCCCCAGCCAAGAACAAGGAACAAACTGTGTCTTCTGAAATCTCTCTGGCAACCTCAGCCCCAGACAGGCTCTCTGATGGAGCTGGGAACAGGAAGTTTCACACCAGAAAAAAAAAAAGGCCCATTTTATTGAGAAAATAGTAGATCCCACCATCTTTCCTAGGTGACCCCTGCTGAGGTAGGAGGTGGCAACGTTCTGCACCCACCCCACGGCTGAGCCACCCTGCACAGGGCAGACGCTGGTCCACCAGGCCCTGCAGAAGCAGGGTGCGGGGTGGGGTAGGGCTCTGGAGGGGGCTGTGAGGGGCCTGGGGGTGCTGGGGACAGGCAGCTGGAATGAGGGAAGGGAAGGAGGAGGGCCAGGGAGGACAACCCCCTCCTGAAGCCTGGAGCCTTCTCCCTCCACATTCTTCATAAATAAGACTTCACAGTAATAGAGGAATGTCCACTTCCAGGGCCAAAGCGGCTGCTCTCCGGCCAGGGAGCCAGGCCTGGGGGGTGGGGACTGTGGGAGGGACTCGCCTTGGGCTGGGGTCAGCAGCACTGGGGTTTCGGGGGGCCAGGAGCGCTGCTCTTCTGCCCTGTTATGGGGTGGGGTGGGAGGTTCTGAGGGGCACTGAGGTAGTCAGAGCGGTTGCCCCTCTAGGTGTTACAGGACACAGCCAGGAGCAGGGGCGCTGGAGCCGAGGCCCCAGACGGGAGACAGCCCGGCTGCAGGCAGGCCTGGGGCTGCAGAGAGCCTGCTGGGAGACCAGCGCGTGGACTGGGGGGGTGCCTGTGAGCCTGCACAGAGTCAGGTTTCTCCTGCCAGGCCTGCCTGGCCCCTAGGGAGACTGAGGCATTTCGCAGAAGACGCTTCCCTGTGAAGATGAGGGGCGGCCACAGACTCATCAGGCCAACCCTAGCCCAGGTACCTGCGCACAGAGTGCCTCCAGAGATCGCCAGGACCTCCCACCAGGTTTGAGGGGCCAGCCATGGACCAGGTCACTCCTCAGAGAGGGCCTCCAGACTGGGCAGGTCCAGCCGTTCCTGGGCCTGTTTCCTGGAATTATCCACACAGGGAGGTCCCCCTCTGGCTACCTGCACCCCAGCACACCCAGTGGCACGGAGGCCTCCACCCTCCACCTCCCCTTGGGGACCAACGGCTAGGCCCGGGCACTACCATTCCAGCCCGATATGATGGGGGCTCAGGAGCACGTGCCCTGGCCTGTCCTGGTGGCCCAGCTGGGGTCAGAGCACCTGGAGCTTGCGGGAGCAGGTGAGGTTGCTATGCACCAGCCCCCACATGGCCAGCAGCTCAGGGGGCAGCAGCTTGTGGACCACCAGCATGGCACGGAAGAAGCACGGCTCCTTGTTCATGCGGCTGTTGCGGTTCCGAGAGATGCCGAAAGTCTTGAAGCCCTCGTGGGCTGTGGGCTGAACGCCCAGCACCTCCAGGCACATGCCCAGGAAGACGTCGTCGATGGGGTAGAGCTCCAGGGTATCACAGGCGTGGTGCAGGCGCCGGGCCAGGCTGCCGGCCATGAGGAAGCCACCGCCACCTGCATACGGCGGGTAGCTGGCCTTGCTGTACAGGGCCCCCGGGATGTAGTATTTGTTGTCTTTCCTGCGGATGGGCCGAGCGTGCTGCAGGACGTCACCCACGAACAGGTTTTCCTGTGGCTGCCGGTCAGCCAGAAATTCTAGCAGGTTGGTGGGGTTGACGAAGACGTCATCGTCGCCTTTGAAGATGAAGGGGACGTGGGGGCAGTAGATGTCCAGCCACTTGAGGAAGTGGATCTCCTTGAGGGTCAGGTTGAAGAAGGTGTCGAGAAAGTCCCACTGCAGGATGTCGCTGTAGAGGCGGTCCTCATAGGCCAGCAGCTGCTGGTAGTGTACACGCTCTTCCTGCTTGGAGGCCGTGCCCAGCAGGAAGAGGGTGCGCACGGCGCCCCGGCCCCCGCCCGCTGACTCCCACTCGCGGCCCCAGGTCTGGCGGATGGCCTCCCGGCGGTCATGCTGCGTGATGACCGACTTGATGACCACCAGCAGGTAGACATCGCCCCTGCACTTCTCTGGGTGGTTCAGCAGCATGGGGAAGTAGCGGCAGTGGCGGTAGAAGAGAAACTGCCGGAACTGCGGCTCTAGGCCCTGGAACCAGGCCTGGTGGGTCAGGTTGATGTTGGCTGAGCAGTTAGTGGTGGTCACATCCCAGGCCTGGGGCCCCTGAGAGGCCACGGTCATGGGCATGGCCACATCCTTTGGGTTCTTCCAGAAGTTGTTGGAGTTCACCAGCGGTCCGTTTGGCTTCTGGGCCCTCTGTGGCTCCAGGGTGGGTGGCGGAGGCTCCTGCAGAAACTGACCAGGGGTAAGACTGCGCTGGAACACGGTCACGGCCACGAGCAGGGCCAGGGCCAGGCAGAGACTCCGGTAGATGGTTTTCTTCCTGTGGTGAGAGTGGACAGTACAGAGGACTGAGAAAACATGAGCCCACAACTCTGCCGGTGCCCCCCCTTGGGAGGCTGGGTAGCCCCAGATGGGCAAGTGGACCTGGGCACAGACTCAGTCCCGGAGCCCCTGAGTGGTCAGAGGAGGGTCCCGCCTCCTCTCCCACTCTGCCTTCTCCCTCTCCCTCTCCCACCCTGCCCTCTCCTCAAGGAGCACTGTGGAATCAGGCCCTGCCACTTACAAGCTGAATGAGTGATTTACAACCTCTCTGAGCCACAATTTCTTCTTCCCCAAACGGGGCTAAACACAGGATTGCACTTTGGGAGGCCGAGGCGGGTGGATCACGAGGTCAACAGATCGAGACCATCCTGGTCAACATAGTGAAACCCCGTCTCTACTAAGAATTACAAAAAATTAGCTGGGCACGGTGGCGCGTGCCTGTAATCCCGGCTACTCAGGAGGCTGAGGCAGGAGAATTGCCTGAACCCAGGGGCGGAGGTTGCGGTGAGCCGAGATTGCGCCATTGCACTCCAGCCTGGGTAACAAGAGTGAAACTCCGTCTCAAAAAAAAAAAAAAACCACAGGATTGGAGTGCTATATAAAGTACCAGGGAGCGGGTGTGCAGTTGGGGGAATGCTGTCACCTTACCAGGAGAGGCTAGGGTGGAGACCTCTGCCCTGTTCCCCACCCCTGGAGCCCCAATAGCTTTCTTTTTTTCTTTTTTTATGAGACAGAGTCTCGATATATTGCCAGGCCGGAGTGCGGTGGCGCAATCTCAGCTCACTGCAACCTCTACCTCCCAGGTTTGAGTGATTATCCTGCCTCAGCCTTCCAAGTAGCTGGAACTACAAGCGTGCACCCCCAAGCCCAGCTAATTTTTTGTATTTTTGGTAGAGACAGGGTTAGCCAGGATGGTCTCGATCTCTTGACCTCGTGATCGCCCGCCCTGGCCTCCCAAAGTGCTGGAATTACAGGCATGAGCCACCACACTCAGCCCCCAATGGCTTTCATTTCCCTGTGCAACCCCCATGGCAGGAGCATCGGTATCATCAGGTGACTCGGAGCCAGGGTCATTGGGAGGGCAACCCTCTCTGACCCTCTGTGTCGCCTGGTAGGTCCATTACATGTGGGGCACACTGGAGCTTGGGACCTGAGGAAGACTGGCCCTCCTCCCCCTTCTTAGAGAAGGGGGTCCTTCTGACCCAACAGAGAGCAGCCCTGATGGTTGAGGGAGGCCCGGGATGCAGTGGGCACCTGTAGCATGGCACTGCCCTGTACCCCCCTTAACATCCCCAGCTCACAACACCCCATTAGAACACATGAGGCCCTAGCTCTACTCCCCTTCTCTGTGCTCCCCGCTCCCCCGTGTCCCCCGCTACACCTCTGGGGTTCCTTCCACCTCGAAGGGACACTTCTGCAGTCCCAGCCCTTGAGGGAACCTCCTTGCCAAGAGACCCCCCTGCCACACCCATTTCAGAATCAGAAATTAGAGCTCTCTGCCAGGAGTGCTGTTGGTCTCAAGCCCTGGGGCCTGCGGCCCTGGCCTGAAGGACCCCTCTCCTCGTTTCACCCTCCGGCGGCTGTCAGGACGCGTGTCCGAGCCTCCCCAGTGAAGACCTGGGGGCTGAGAGCTCCACGGACAGCAGAGTGCCCTTCCAGGGCCGGCCTCGCAGAGAGATGGCGCTGACCTCCAAGGGGGAGGAGCAGGGTGGCAGGAGAGACAGGGAGCCCATGGAGATGCCTGGGGTGGTCTGAGGGCACCCAGGGTGAATGCAGGCTGAGCCCTACAGAGAGACATTTTTCCCATAGGGTGCCCAGGTTGCTGGGGCCTGTGGTTGGAGGAAGACAGGGTAACCTCAGGTACTGGCTGGGGGGTGTGACTCAAGATACAACTTTCCGGGGAGGGGAGCGGAGGGCTCCGGACCCGGCCCTGCCAGCCCTAGGGGTTCCAGAGAAGCGGCCCACCGAGGCTGGGACGGGGGCGATACCCTGGGCTGCTGGCGCTCCACCTGCCGGGTCCGCTCCATCCGCAGGGAAAGCCCGGGAGGGGCGGAGAGGGGCTGGGCGGGCGGCAGCGGAGCTCCCGCGGAAGGAAGCCCAGAGCGGGGGAGGGTGGTCCGGGAGCAGGGGGCCCTCGAGAGTCTGGAAGGGCGAGGGGACCCGGCTGCCGACGAGACCTGGGGTCCCAGCCGCCGGGGTCCTGGAGCTGAGCGTGGCGCCACGAGACCCCCCGCCGCCCCGCACGGGTCCGGGGCCGCGCACCGCGGACATCTCCCGCCGCCGCCGCCGCGCCAGCCCGTCCGCCCCCGGGAAACTGAGGCCGACGCGGCGCGCCCGGGGGCATCTCCCATCCCGGGAGTCCCGGCGCCCGTCTGCAGCCGCGGAGGAGGGGGAGCCCCGGGCCCGCACCCCCACCCCGGCCCCCGACGGCCCCGCGCCCCACTCACCACAGCGACATGGCGGCCCGGGCCGGGGCGGCGGAGGGGCGCGCGGCTCGCAGCTCTGGGCGCCGCGGCTCCGGCCGGCAGGACGGCGGCGGGCGGACGGGGACGGAGGCCGGGCTGCGCCCCCGCCGCGACTTTCCTTTTCCCGGCCGCGGGAGGAGGGGCCGGCAGGGGCGGCGGCCCAGGTGCCTTAACCCCTTCGGCGCTCCGAGCCCGCCCCGCCGCCGCCTGTCCCGGTTCCTCCGAGACGGGCTCCCAGGCTCCCCAAGCGCGCCATGCATGCTGTGCACAGCCGAGGCGGGGCTTCGGAGCCCACGGGGGTCACCTTCACCCCCCGGGACGCCTGTTCCCGGCGGAGCCTCCCGGGGGAGTCGCCGGCCCTTCCTGGTCTTGTGGGAAACCTGAACACCCTGGTCCCCTCCAAGACCTTGGGGCGCCCCAAGGCCCAGCCATTTCCTCTGGTCCCATTCAGACTTGTCTTTGGGGTCAGAGGCAGGCAGGGGGTCCTTTTCTACCTCTGCTACCTTCTGCCCCCGCGCCTTTCCCGGGCCCAGGCAGACCCCTTGCCCAGCTGTTGGGCTACCCAGGATCGGGAGCAGAGCCAGCCACTAGGGGAGGAGGCCGGATGAGCCTGTGGCTCTGGAGGCCTTCTCCGTGCTCCCCGCTCCCCCGTGTCCCCTTCTCCACCTCTGGGGGCTCCCCACCACCAAGGGAAGGCCTGTTGGCCCAGCCTGTTGCCTTAGCCCTATCTCCTTTCTTTTTTCACCTATCACTCAAACTCTTTTTGTCCTCAAGCCTTATTAGTCTGCTTGTGCACACCAGGCCTAGATGCTCTGGGGGTAGGGGACTCCGGTGTGGGGCGCGGGGAGGTTAAGACGCCTCACCCTGGCCTTGAGGGCTTAGGATCCAGCTGGGGACTCCTAGCCTCCCTGTGTGCTGGGTAGGAAAGTAGCTCCTTGTCACTGCTGTCCCCGGGGGGAAAAAAGGTTTAGGACGGGCTCAACGCCAGCCTTCAGGCCAGGCACGCCTCCTGGACGTGCTTACTAACTCTGGGCTCGCTGCTCTCCTAGCTGGCTGGGAGTTCCCCTCTGCAGCCCCATCTCCTTCCCTGTAAGGTGGGAATAATGGTGCATGCCTCCAGGACTCAGTGAACCAGTCATGCATTAGCCCAGAACCAGGCTTGGCATATTGCAGCTGCCCAGTAGACATCAGCTGTTAGGGTTGGACCGCGAAGAGCTTCCATTTCAATTCTATGGGCATTTTAGAGATCCTGCTGGATGCTAAGCACGGATCCTCAACTCAGAACAAGACCAGAACAACCTCAATAACGGCAGGACCAGCGATGGTTCTCCCTGCTGGAGGATTCCGGAAGTCACCTGGCTGGACCGAGAAGCCCCCCTCCGTGTTCTCTGTGCAGGCTACTCCTGCTCTGGGACTTTTGGCGGGCCATTACAAAGGGCACCGGCCGCAGCATTCCTCTGGAATTCTGCCTGAAAGGCCCTTTACATTCCCTAATTGGCACTTATAACATTCCAGAACATTCTATCGTGTCTTGTTTTTCCTCCCCCTCCAAGGTGCCCTTGAACTTTAAGGATGGGGTACCAAGCACTTTGCTGCACTGCCCAGGCTTCCGGGTTCCCCACCTCACCCTGCAAGTGTGGCCTGGCTTCCCTGGCTCCACACAGGGGCTCTGCTGAGAGCTGTTGGCTCGGCCTCAGCACTGACCTCTCTCTCACCTGGTGCTGTGGGGTCTCCTCCTGCTGAGGGGTGGACACAGCTGTCCCTGGGAAGGGGTTTTGAGCCCATGTTTGGGGATGGTAGGCATGGGGGTTGGGTCAGAGTCTTGCACTTCCTTGCTGTCACTGGGGGCAGGTGGCTTATCCCCTTGAGACCTCAATTTCCTGCCAGCTCAGGGCCTTTTGAGATGACGCCAGTGAAGCAGACACAGGCGTCCCCTACGTGACGAGCTTGGTGACAGGCTGGCTACGGTTAGTGTTATCACTGATGTCCAGCCTACCCTACAAGGCCCCAGAAGCACAGGAGGTGGGAGCAGAGGGAGCTGCCCAAGGTCGGCTGAGTGTTTGCCGGTGGAATCGGGTCAACTGAGACAGGCGGTTTGATTTGGAATAATTTGATCTGAGCCTAGGCTGAACTCAGAGAGGGGAAATGAATGACAATTACACGAGAGTCCCTGATGGTGGGGTGAGAACAGGGAGTGTGGGAGCCAGGCTAGGCTCCTGTTACTCCAGCACACGCTTCCCCTTATGGGCCGCACGGTGGTCTCCCCACTGCCAAGCCGGCCAGTTCCACCTGCCCCAGCAGATTCCTGTGGTTTGGAGTGAGGCCCCTGAGGAAGGCAGGCCAGTCTGTGATGGGATCTGCCCTCCTGTGGATTGGAGTGAGGCCCCTGAGGAAGGCAGGCCAGTCTGTGATGGGATCTGCCCTCCTGTGGATTGGAGTGAGGCCCCTGAGGAAGGCAGGCCAGTCTGTGATGGGATCTGCCCTCCCTCTGCCCCCCACCTTGGTTGAAGGCAGAGCCCAGAGGTAGAGGGAAGTTCCAGAACAGGGGATCCCAGAAGAGGGTGGGCAACAGGTGGACGAGCTGGCTGCATAGGCCACAGGACTCCCAGGCCAAGATGGATGTGGGTTCTGTGTCCTTGTCACAAGGCCACTCTGTGCACCTCTGGTTGCTCCCTTGGAGGACCCCCAAGAAACACCCCTTTTCCATCTTTTGGCACCTCAGCCCATCGCCACCTCCACTTTTTTTTTTTCTGAGACAGACTTTTGCTCTTGTTGCCTAGGCTGGAGTGTAATGGCAGTATCTTGGCTCACTGCAACCTCTGCCTCCTGGGTTCAAGTGATTCTCCTGCCTCAGCCTCCCAAGTAGTTGGGATTACAGGTGCACACCACCACGCCCAGCTAATTTTTGTGTTTTTAGTAGAGACAGGGTTTCACCATGTTGGTCAGGCTGGTCTCAAACTCCTGACCTCGTGATCTGCCCGTCTCGGCCTCCCAAGATGTTGGGATTACAGGTGTGGGCCACCGCGCCTGGCTGCTCCACTTTCTTTTATACCCCACCCATTCACAAAAATGGTTGGAGTCCGACCCTGCTGGCCACAGACACCAGCACAGGCCTTTGCCCAGAGGCAAGGACTGCAGAGACCCAGGGCTGGGAGTATCTGACTGGCCAGAAGACACACTGGGTGGGTGCTTGACTGGACAAGGTGGGGGTCAACTTGGGCCAGAGGGACCCCCAAAGCAGAAGGTGATGTGTCCTGTATGCCTTGCAGAGAGGTGGCCCTTGTGAGGTGAGAGCCTGGAGCCCAGCAGTGGCCCTGGGTAGGCAGCTGTGCTGGCTATAATTGCCTCAGTGCTGCTGTGTGATTTTTGTGAGCATGTGAGTTAATTTTAGTCGGTGTTTTTGAAAGACCCTGAGCAGCAGTCTACAGCCCGGGGCAGCCACAGCCAGCTCTTCACATGTGGTTGTCTACCGTCACAGCAGAGGGTCTATGCATTAGCACGCAAGGGTCAGAAATCATTGTTCTGTAGTAAAAAAAAAAAAGTGTTGCTGAAGATGTGTGCCTGGGAGGAAGTGCCACAAGTCCCCTCTGCCTGGCCTGGATGAGCCCAGCCACCAGCAGGGCAATCCCCTGGGCCCAGAAGTTTCTCTGAGTGGTTCTGGGCCCCCACAGGTGATGCTCTGACTGGAGGTTAGCTAGTCATTGATGAGCATGTCCTTGAATTCCTGAGAAAAGCTGTTGTGCGGGGCGTGGTAGCTCACGCCTGTCATCCCAGCACTTCGGGAGGCCCAGGTGGGAGGATCACCTGAGGTCGGGAGTTTGAGACCAGCTTGACCAACATGGAGAAACCATGTCTTTTAGTCTCTACTAAAAATACAAAATTAGCTGGGCAAGGTGGTACATGCCTGTAATCCCAGCTACTTGGGAGACTGAGGCAGGAGAATCGCTTGAACCTGGGAGGTGGAGGTTGCGGTAAGCTGAGATCGCACCACTGCACTCCAGCCTGGGCAACAAGAGCAAAACTCCATCTAAAAAAAAAAGTAGTTGTGACAGGACAGAGTGGGACTTCCCTGAGCCCGTGGGCAGTGGCTGGGTGTCTGTTTCTGTGCTTTGTGTTAACAGATGTTTCCAGTAGGGTAGTGTTGGGCCTGCGGGTTGATTTTTGTGTAGCACGCCACCCAATGGGGAAGTGTGGGTGAGAACTACGGCTTCTCAACTATCTTTGGTCCTTGAAAGCCCCAGTACCCATCCTGCAGGGCAGGGCAGGAGGGACCTCAAGGCTGGTGAGGTCACTGCCCAGACAAGCATTGGGGGATGCCCCCAGGCAAACTGGTGTCCCCCAGAAATGGCTCGTGTGTGAAGCTGAGGCAGTGTCAGGATCTAGGGCGGAGGCAAGGGAAGTAGAGATGGAAAATGAAAAGGGACAACACATTTTCCTGGGGGAAGGTCTTCCTTTGAAGGGGTGGAGTGGGGGTGAGGCCAGGATGGAGCCAGCAGTGAGTGGGAGGGAGATGATCGTGTCTTCAGTGCGTGGATGGTCTGGAGTCTGGGAAGTCCCCTTGCCCAAGGGAAGCCTGGGTCAGAAAGGAGCCCAGATCGCAAGGCATTGAGCAAAAAAAGGAAGAAGCACTTTGGGAGGCCAAGGTGAGCGGATCACTTGAGGTGAGGCGTTCAAGACCAGTCTGACCAACATGCTGAAACCCCATCTCTACTAAATACAAAAATTAGCTGAGTGTGGTGGCAGGCGCCTGTAATCTCAGCTACTCAGGAGGCTGAGGCAGGAGAATCTCTTGAACCTGGGAGTTGGAGGTTGCAGTGAGCTGAGATTGTGCCACTGTACTCCAGCCTGGGCAGCAGAGAGAGACTGTCTCAAAAAAAGAAAAAAAGGCTGCATGCAAGTCCTTACAGAAGCAGCGTGCCAGGCAACCTCCTGCCAGGGGAACACTGAGTACCCTTCCAGGCCCAGTCCTGCCAATAAAGCCAAGCCCAACAACCAGGAAGACACCTTGCCCTCCTAGAGGAGTGATTCTTACCAATTCCAGAGCCTGCCTGCAGAGACGCTGTCCTAGGAGACCTGTAATTCCTCAGAGATTCCCAAAGCGAAGGCAGGTTTGGGAACCACCGGCTCTGAGCCCTCCAATCCCTGCTCTCTTGGTCGGCTTTGAGCAAGGGGCCAGACGGGGGCCACTGCCTCACCGAGCCTGGGCAGGAGGAGGGAAGGATGGGGAAGTGGCAGTGGAGGAAATTGGAGCCAGAGAGGGAACGAGTTAAAGTTGTTCAGCTTTCCACTGAAATAGGTGGCGGTGGAGGAAGTGGAAGTGGGTTTAGGAGCTTGAGAAGAGGGGAAGAGGGTGGCCACAGCCTCTGAGCGGGATCTGAGAAGGCCAGGGAGGAACCGTGAGGCATGTCGCAGGCCAGGCAGGGGTGCTCCCTGCAAACCCAGGCAGGGATGACCCAGGGCTCCTGTGGTTACAAGAGACAGCAGTCCGACTCCAGCCAGAGGGATCTGTTGGCTCATACAACAGGCCACTGCAGCCTCTTTCTGGACAGTCTGCCCAGCCCCTGGCTCTTGCCTGAGGCCCGCGGGCTTCTTCATGAGGAGCAGGAGAAACACAGGCTGGCATTTGCAGACGGGTGGAGGCATTTGTCACCTCACCTCAAGGACCTCAGAGAAAAGAGAGGTTTTTCCCTCTGTCAGCCTAGTCCTTCCCTATACAGATGTCCAGGGAAGGACTCTCACG